AGCGGGGCAGCCTGGACAGGCCTGGGCTGATGCTGCCGGTACTGCACCCTTTATTCAGAGCAGCTTTACTGGTACAATTTACACACCAGGAAATCCGCCCGTTGTGAGTGTATGACCTGCGACCTTCAGTAAAAGTCCACAGTTGCGCAACCATCCCCCCCGCCTAGTTTCAGAGCTCATCCATCACTCTGTGGAGTGTTTTAAAGACCACGGCCCCTCGCCTCCAGCCCGGAGGGCATCCAGGGACACCCTGCTCTCCAGCCCGGAGGGGTGGGACCAGCGGCCCTCGGTCACCCAGCGTGCCCACCTGTACAGCCCCTGGTGGCCCTTCTCATCCTCCCTGACTCGGGGTGAGGGGCCGTCTCTGGGGGTAAGATGACAGCCCCCGCCTCGGTGCCTTGGCCTAGAGCTGACCCAAAGCATCACTGGCTTCCGAACGCCCCGGATTCTTTTTCTAAGTGCGCAGCCACAGGGTTCTGGGGAGGACGGGGGCGGGGGGAGGTGACACTCGGAGCAGGAGTAGCACCACCGGAAGAGGCTCCTGCTTTGCTAGGGCCCTTTGGGACACCCCTCTCGGATTTCTTTTGACACAGCAAAGATGTCCTGCCTGTTAAGAGACAAGGTCACGCCTCAGCAGGCCGCGTGGATTGGGCTGGTGCTCTGGTTGCCGTGTCATCACTAGGCTTGAGGGCCGGCTCCGGAGCCTGACCCCACGTGCAACCCAGGCTCACTGTGACAACCAGGCGACGGCCGTGAAGTCTAAACAGGCATCAGACGGACTGCCTGACGGGGCCACAAACAAATGTCAAAGGCTAAAAAGCAGAAGAACTGACTCTCCCGTGACATCACAAGAAGCCGGCGACAGCAGGAGGAGGCCCAGTCCCCTCCTGCTTCTTCCGGAAACTATCACCAGACAGTCCCGTGTCACCAGAGGAAGCAGCCAGTGACGGCGGAAGATGCGCTTTTTGGGGGTCACGTGAGAAGCTTTGGTGTCCTGGCAGGAGAGGGGAGAGGGGCAGGACTTCCCCCCAAGCCTGCAGCCGAGGCAGCCTGGGGCGTCGGGCTCTGCCAGCTGCATTCCAAGCCTCTCCCCCCATGCCCAGACGGCGCAAAGGCCTTTGTGATGACTTCACGCTCAGCCCAAAGTAAACACCCTCCACACTTTTTCCATGGACACATTCTAACCCCAAACTGCCAGCACCGGCCTCCCAACCAACCAGATGGAAAGCTGCCTTTCCCAAGAACAGAAAACCTTTTTTAACTAAATAGTACATCTTGGCTGCAAAAGCAAAGTTTCCTAAACGCTTCCTAGAAATTACTTCTCGTGCAACGATTCTACATGTCACCTGAGCGAACGTCACCAGCGGAACGAAGGCCCTGGAAACAAACACGATGGAGGATCCGGAAGGCACACTCGCTCCCGCAAACACCTGCCCTTCAAGGCTGCAGGTGTGCCGAGCACCCCCAGGCCGCCGCCCAGAACTCACACTCACGTGCGCCCTGCTCACAACCACCCGACTGCAACGGTATCACTCAAAACAGGCTGACGTAAGACAGGTGCCCATTTGAATAAAGAGCTAGAGCCCTCGGGATCCAAGCTCGGCTGGCTTTTGTACCATCAAACACGTTCCAGCTTGAATCCGCGTGATCCAAGCTCAGGTCTCCGCCGACTCGGAAATGCAGACGCAACAGTGCACTTACCAGGTTGGAGTTGGTGGCGTTGGAGTCGTCCTCTGGAAAGGGAATATAGATCGCTAAGGCCACACAGTTGGCAAAAATTGTCAGTAAAATAATGATTTCAAATGGCCTGGGAGGGGGGTTAAGGAAGTTAATGCCACGGAAGCACCAGTGAGACAAACACACACAGAGAGATGTTTCAAAACAGAATCAAAGATTCGCCGAATCTTGTTTAAACAATACATTCCAAGCCCCTTGTATTCTGAAAAGAAGCATACGCCTTGTTAAGTGCTTCTAATGGGCCCCGCCAAAATTTCCCCTAATATGTCAAACGCAGTGGAGGCCAGGCGCGTGCCAGAGTAAACACAGGTTTCTGAAACTTTTTCCCCTTCTTTTATTTATTTAGATTTGCCCTGGACTTCATTTTCCCTCATGTGTGCTCAGGGTTGCTTTGAAAGATTGAGGCCTGCTCCAGCCAGGGCTCGCCACCCCCAGCGGCCCGCACCGGGGCCCGACAGAGCTTGGCGGGGCAGAGGGGGGCCCCCTGGGATTCAAGGCAAAGACTCGACTTGAAGACGTTTCAATGAAATCTGGAGATAGGATTTTCAATCTTTTAACTTTAAATTTCAAGTCTGTTTTTTCTTCCTCCTCATTCTCTGCCTGCCAAGAGCCTGAAGGTGGCCAGGGGCTCTGGACGCCCAGGAGCACGGCAGCGTGTGCCGTGCACGCAGGGGAGCGCAGCTCCATGCAGCGGCCCAGAGCCTCTTCGGTCTGCGGAGGCCCGGCCTGCGATGAGGTGGCCTGTGTCCCAGGGCCTCCTGACTTGCCCGCGGGTTGTGAAGGGCGCTGGAGGGGATAAGCCAAGGTTCGCCGCCGCCAGCAATCAGGGAGGTCCTTGTGCCCGGATTTTCTGCACCAAGATATCAGGGCAGACACGTTCTCGAGAGAAAAACAGCAGCCCTCCCACCCTCTGCACCCTCAACCGAAGGCCAGAGAAGGCGGCTTCAGAGGAAGGGCCCGCTTCACGCTCT